TAAACGTTGATATTTCATATAGAAATTTATATATTTGTTAATTAATTCCTTATTAGGTTTAATTAAATTGGAATAATTTACTTTTTTATGATCATTATTATTATTAGTAATATTAATATTATCATCTAATGGTTGAGAGGATGATTGTGAAGAAGATTGTAATAATTGATCTTGTTCAATTTTTCTTTTTTTAGACATTTCGAATGGTGATAAATAATTACGATCATCTTGTTTATCATCATTTACTTCTTCCGATTTTATATTATTATCATAATTATTAGTAATAGTAGATTGTTGTTGATCACTTGTAGTATTATTGGTTGTAGATGTAATTATTGTTGATGATAAAGTATTATTATTATTAGAAGTAGGTGATGATGAAGCCCATGATGGTAAAGATCGTTTCTTCATTTTTTTTAATCTTATACTTCCAAAATTTATTGGAAATTTTAAACCAATCATTATGATCACACTTTACAATTTACAAGTTGTAAAATAATAACAAAAAACAATTTATTAAATTAAATTATTTTCCTCTTCATAATCATAATTTAAAAACATGTTTAATAAAGCCAAATCTAAACCTTCATTTAATTGATAATTATAATTATTATTATTATTATTTAATAACATGTTATCTTGTCTATTAGCATATACTACATAATTAAATGGTAACATGTAATTATTATTTAAATTATTTAAATTATTATCATTTCCATTTAAATTATTATTTAAATTTTTAAAAATACTTGTTTTAATAAAAGTCATATCATTTTGTTTAACAAAATCTAAAACTAATTGATCATTTACATTATTTTGTAAATCAGATTTTAAACCAACAATAATTTTAGGTAAATATTCAATATTTTTATATAATTTAATATAATTTTCTAATAAAGGATAATGAATTTGTTTTAAATCAATAAAAGATTGTAAATTATTACAATCATAACATAATATAATAGCATCTGTATCTTTAAATACACTTGTACATATTTCATTTGATTCTTTATCTAAATCTGAACAATCCCATATTTGTAATCCACATGAATATTTAATTGATAATTTATTTTCATATAAATTAAATCTATTTTCATATACTTTAATTAAACATGATGTAAAATCAAATCCAATTGTAGGTTCTATTTTATCTATATTTGTATTATTTATATAATAGGAAAGTAAACTTGTTTTACCAATTTGTCTATTTCCAATTAAAATTATTTTTAATAAAGATGCATCTAATAATTCACCTTCTTCATTCATTAATATAAATGATGAAGATGCAGACATGTTCATTATTTTACAACTATTTTTAATTACTTTCCATTTATAGGATTGATATAATTTACATTTTAATTTAAAATTATTAAATATTGTATTACCATATTTACAATTTCTATATATTTTCATATTATTACATGTTTGTAAATAATTATTATCTGTATTAGATTTATAAAATGGATGATTTTTAGGTACTATATTTAGAAATATATATTTCCATAATAAATTGGAATATTCTTCATTTTGAAATATGCTTATACTTATATGTTGACATGTTAAATTTAAATTAAATATTTGTTTTAATATTTGTTTTTTATATAAATTTTTTAAATTTTTTAAATTATTTGAATTATTATTTAAATTATTATTATTTAAATTTGAATTATTTAAATTATTATTAGATTGATCATTATCTTCATCATCTGTTAAAATTTCTTCAGTTT